CCTACTGAAAGAAGTCTGATGAGGAAATGTGGTGATTTCCGAAATAGCTATCACTTCTACCATTTTTTCAAATTATTGTTGCTTTTCCACAATAAATTTTCATTTAAAAAATGGCCTCGAGCTCATTATAAAATTGTTGAATTTTATTTTTTTCTTTATTTGTTTTAATTTATTTTAAGAAAAAACCATAAAGCAAAGTTGTAGACTTGATTTATAAAATTTCTAAAAATTTCAGAAAGTCGTCAATATTTCAAGCTTTTTAATCAGAATTTCTGGAAAAAATTCGTGTGTGCTGTTTTATAACCCATTCAATTTTGATATAAATTGTGTAAGTTTTAAGTAACTCAAAAATCTCATTGATTTTTGAGATTTTTTTTTCGCTGACGTTGTGCATTTTCTTCCATACGAAGGATGTTCGAACATTCTTCTATATAGTAGAAATTAAAATTCATTTTTATACTAGTAAAGCTTATACATTTGCTATCATTTATTTCAACATTATTGATTTATTGCCAAATTTGCATATGCATGTTGGCATAATGATAGCAAATTTAACAAGCGAGTGAGTGAACTCTTTTCAGTTCTCAAAAAACCGAAATTTATATATACCTTGAAAACGGATTTACTTTCTCAATCTCTGACTGCATATTTGGATTGAGGGGAAAATTTATCATAAGAAATGAGAATAATAGAGGTCATACCTTCTTTAAAAGCTTATGATCTAGTGTGATTAATGTAAATATACGATTAAGGAAAAAATAGCGTGTGATATTTACATTTTTAATAAAGTATGTACTTCTAAATATTTGATTCTAAGCTTTAATTATTTGAACTCTTAGAAGTGTAATCATACAAATTTTAGGAACAGAAGTTCGTTATCAATCTTTCTTGTACACGTTTTGCAGTGGAGTTCTGTCCGAATTCTCAAAATCTGTTGAAAAATGTTCAATAGGATCGCTAATTGACCGCTGACTAAAACGAATGTTGTGAAGGGCTGCACGCGCGTTAACGACTTTACCAGCGAAAGCGGGGTCATATAACAGAACCCTTTGTTGTGATAAGCATCACCAAGTTCCTTTGAGGAAGCCAAAGAGTCTCTCAATCGGGCTCCGTGCCTTGCAGAGCGCTTCATTGTACCGAAATTTTGGTGACGCTTCTGGCTGGTTGGGTAAAGGAATCATGAGCCATGGCTCTAATGGGTATCCAGAATCCCCTTAAAGAAAGTGCTTTTAGTATTATATTTTAAAATAAATTAACAAAAATAAGTACCAATCAAAAACATATTGCGGTTTCCATCTTCAAAAGCTCGCTGCATGACTTGTCGCACAGCGGAAGAGCTCCAAATATAGGAGTCCTGTCGTGCTCCCGGATGCCTGGCATTCACGTTAAGGATTTTTAGATTTGGGTCACATATCTATAGCAAATACAATAAACAATCAACACCATACTTCATTTCAAATGCTTTGCTTACCATTCGCACATTTATGGAGTGATATCCATGATGATTGACGTATGCTTCCTCGTTATGTTTAGAACTCAAAATGGATATGAGGGTGCAGTCGATCGCACTGATGGTTCCTCCGACGAAAGGCGCAGGAGCTAAGGAAAACGCTTCCTTGGCAGCTTGACGTTCTATTTGGGTCATGGGGAACTTCACTTCCGACAAGAATAAGCGGCTATGGATGGCTTCGGTTACCTTGTGTGTGCAGCGGCTGGTAGATGACTGACTCAGTGAAATTCCCCATTGTTCCCCTACAGGCCGTTGATAACATCCCGTGGCGTAGAATCGCAAAGCGCAAAGAACCTTTCAAAACAAAAGTGAATTTATTGACACATGTAAAACTTTATTAAAAGTAAGTATTTAATGCTTTACCTGTTTTTCAGCCGATATCGCTGTAATTCTTGAACCTTTTAAAAGGTCTTCCAGCCGTTCAACCACGTCCGCCACCATGCCTGGACGCACACGGTAAAGCTTCCGGAACTCTAAAGGTGGGAGATCTAGGGGATTATCAATATCCCGCAGAAAACGCCGATCCACCGTTGACAAATTTGTCACTGGCTCGTTTTGAGATAAGCTTGACGCTACAAATTCAAAAGCCATCTCTAATTTTTATTTACTTCTTTCTTTTGCGTTTTAAGTTACTTTTATTTGTTTAGATATTTTCGCTAACACAAAATTGACAACTCCAATTGAGATGTCGACAATTTAGCAATAGCCGAACCGTAAACGATAACAGCTCATTTTTCGAAGGCCAGTGTTGTTAAGGAAACGTTTTCTGAATAGCAAAATCGATAAAATTGTTGTTTAGTTGACATAACGATAACAAATGTTGTTAAAATAGCGTAGTGAATCGCAATGACCGCTCAAACATGTGCTTGGAAGGTGATCGATTGTGCAAAGCAGGGGATTGTCATACAGATGTGGCGTTATATAATGTAGCTATTTAGGCATCGTGTCCATTGGCGGTCCTCGAAATTTTTGTTTTGTTTGTTTTCGAAATTTTTGTACTTGGGCATTTCATCGCAGAAGATTTCATTTCAAAAAGTGCTTACGTGCCAAGTTTTGTGAAATTTTGGGTAATACCTTAAAAGACGTTGAACGTTATAATGAAGCTATATGAAGTTTGTTGCTGTCGCCATCTGATTTTGTTATGGCAACTTCGAGAAAAACTATTTTGGATGAAGCAAAAAAAAGGCAGCACATAACTTCCACCAAATAAATCAGTATTAGGTGATAATGCCACCGGCCAAACGACATTCATTGCAAAATTGTAAGGTGTCGAAGATTCGAAAAAGGGTTCAGGTCTGGAGGATGCGTATGGGCTGGGCTGGAGCAGTTGAACCACTGGATTAAAGTGCTATCGGATCACATTAAGAGCATGAAGCCGCAGGCACAAAAGAAACAAGAGGTCCGACAGCGGGTAATAACTACGTCGCAGACTTATTGTGAGGTGGATGATGATTTGGATCCCGCTACGCACTTAAAACGAACGACGAGAAATAATTCGATTGATGAGGATGATCTTCTGTTGCTCAACCAAGAGCGCGCTGATCTCGGTCTGGATATCGTAGATATGATATGAAGCATACGAAACAAAAATTAACTTTAATTTTGCTTGCTTATTTTTATTTCAGACGGACTACATGAAGTTCACCGGTTCTTACTATCATTCAGTCTTATGTCTTCCTAGGTGAGTCCAAGTTACAAACCGAATGTCACTGAAACCGATAATATATCCCTTTCCCGCCCATTAGTGTGTGGGGAGGCGGCGTGGCTGAAATCCAGTCCACATTTTTTTTTATATTTCTGGGTTTTTATGCAAAAATAGGTCTTGCGGCAAATGTTTGCTACTTTGGGTGATCGTTACCTAATCCTTGCCACATTAGAATCCAGAATTCGGATGGCTGGTGGGCGTGGCAGTTGACCGATTTTTACCATCTCTTAGATTTTTGTCTTCTTAGGTTAATCCAAATTGCAAACCGACTTTCGTTGAAATCGTCGTAGATAATACTTTGTAGGAAGGAAATAAATGATACCGTCAACAAAAGAAAAGTGCCAAAAATCAATGGTATTTTGTAGCCAACTTGAACTATCACTGTGTTATACCAGAACTGAATGGAGCACAAAACGCTGTGAATATGGTGGCTACAAAAATCCAGACATTAAGAAGTATAAGTGGTTTGAGTGCGGCAGGTTCCCGTGTTTGGAGCATATTGTTCCCATATGCCAAGGTTGTACATTTTATGCGGAGAATATAAACTATTACACAGTAGTAGTAAGGATCAGACATGAATTATACAAGGATTAGCGGTTTGAGACACTTAACAGTAGTAAGATTTTGAATTTTGTGAATTTTGAATTGTGTCGTCGTTGCAAAGGACCATCGATATAAGCAATTATATCTACTATATATTTGTGGAAGTATGTATGTATGTATGTTTGTATGTATGTATGTGCCACGTTGCAGCCTAAACGGACGGACAGAATCGAACAAAATTTTGACAGAGTATTGCCATGACTCCTGGGCCTATAATAGGGTGAAAAAATTGGGATCCTACAAGGGGGCGTGGCACATCCCATAAGCGCGAAATATTTAATCAGCCATAACTTCGGAACCATAAGTCACATGACCTTGAAATTTGGTATACAGACATATAAATGGTAGGTGCTTATAAGAAGGTATATATAAATGAGTTTGTAGAAGGGGGCGTAGCACATCCCATAGGCGTGGAATTTTTTATCAGCTATAACTTCGGAACCTTAAGTCACACGAACTTGAAATTTGGTATGGAGACATATCAATGGTAGCTGCTTATAGGAGGGTATATATAAATGAGTTTGTAAAAGGGGGCGTGTCACATCCAATAGGCGTTGAATTTTTTATCAGCTATAACTTCGGAACCATAAGTCACACGAACTTGAAATTTGGTATGCAGACATTTTACTGGTAGGTGCTTATAGGAGGGTATATATAAACGAGTTTGTAAAAGGGGGCGTGGCACATCCCATAGACGGGGAGTTTTTTTATCAGCTATATCTTCGGAACCATAAGTCCCACGAACTTGAAATTTGATATGCAGACATACCAATGGTAGGTTCTTATAGTAGGGTATATATAAACGAGTTTGTAAAAGGGGGCGTGGCACATCCCATAGACGGGGAGTTTTTTTATCAGCTATATCTTCGGAACCATAAGTCCCACGAACTTGAAATTTGATATGCAGACATACCAATGGTAGGTTCTTATAGTAGGGTATATATAAACGAGTTTGTAAAAGGGGGCGTGGCACATCCCATAGACGGGGAGTTTTTTTATCAGCTATATCTTCGGAACCATAAGTCCCACGAACTTGAAATTTGATATGCAGACATACCAATGGTAGGTTCTTATAGTAGGGTATATATAAACGAGTTTGTAAAAGGGGGCGTGGCACATCCCATAGACGGGGAGTTTTTTTATCAGCTATATCTTCGGAACCATAAGTCCCACGAACTTGAAATTTGATATGCAGACATACCAATGGTAGGTTCTTATAGTAGGGTATATATAAACGAGTTTGTAAAAGGCGGCATGGCACATCCCATAGACGTGGAATATCTTGTCAGCTATAACTTCGGAAAAATATGCCACATGAAATTGAAAATTGGTACGCTGACTCATCTATGGTAGGTGCTTATAATAGGCCATAGGCGTGGAATTTTTCATCAGCTATAACTTCGGAACCATAAGTCCCAAGAACTTGAAATTTGGTATGCAGACATTTTAATAGTAGGTGCTTATAGGAGGGCATATATAAACGAGTTTGTAAAACGGGGCGTGGCATATCTCATAGGCGTTGAATTTTTTATCAACTATAACTTCGGAGCCATAAGTCACACGAACTTGAAATTTGGTACGCAGGCATGTCTATGGTAGGCGCTTATAGTATAGCATATCGTCCCGTTTCTGCCTTAACCACGTATATACAATTTTTGGGAAAACTAATATTACCACTTATAACAGCTTCTTAAGCGTCACACTATTTGAAAATAGAACAAAGACTTAATTAAGGTGCTCACTACTCTGAGTGGAACCAGAAATATTAAGTAAAAAATGCATTTATTTTATTCCAGGGGATGAAATTAAGCATTTTTTCTTACACTCTCTAAATTACCACTATTGCAGATACGAGGTTGAGGCAGAAACGGGACGATATATAAAGGAGTTTGTAAAAGGGGGCGTGGCACATCCCATAGCCGTGGAATTTTTTATCATCTATAACTTCGGAACCATAAGTCACACGAGCTGAAATTTGGTATGCAGACAATTTAACGGTAGGTGCTTATAGGAGGGAATATATAAACGAGTTTGTAAAAGGGGGCGTGGCACATCTCATAGGCGTTGAATTTTTTATCAACTATAACTTCGGAGCCATAAGTCACACGAACTGGAAATTTGGTATGCAGGCATGTCTATGGTAGGCGCTTATAGTATGGTATATATAAATANAAACGAGTTTGTAAAAGGGGGCGTGGTAGATCCCATAGGCGTGGAATTTTTCATCAGCTACAACTTCGGAACCATAAGTCACACGAACTTGAAATTTGGTATGCGGACATACCAATGGTAGGTGCTTATAGGAGGGTATATATAAACGAGTTTGTAAAAGGGGGCGTGGCACATCCCATAGGCGTGGAATTTTTTATCAGCTATAACTTTGGAACCATAAGTCCCCAGAACTTGAAATTTGGTATGCAGGCAGGTACTATAACTTCGGAGCCATAGGTCACACGAACTTGAGATTTGGTATGTAGGCATGTCTATGGTAGGCGCTTATAGTATGGCATGTATAAATGAGTTTGTAAAAGGGGCGTGGCACATCCCATAGCCGTGGAATTTTTTATCATCTATAACTTCGGAACCATTAGTCACACGAACTTGAAATTTGGTATGCAGACATACCAATGGTAGGTGCTTATAGAAGGGTATATATAAACGAGTTTGTAAAAGGGGGCGTGGCACATCCCATAGACGTGGAGTTGTTTTATCAGCTATATCTACGGAACCATAAGTCATACGAACTTGAAAGTTGGTATGCAGACATTTTAATGGTAGGTCCTTATAGGAAGTAATAGATAAACGAGTTTGTAAAAGGAAGCGTGGCACACCTCATAGGCGTTGAATTTTTTATCAACTATAACTGCGGAGCCATAAGTCACACGAACTTAAAATTTGGTATGCAGGCATGTCTATGGTAGGCGCTTATATAAATGAGTTTGTAAAAGGGGGCGTGGCACATCCCATAGGCGTTGAATTTTTTATCAGCTATAACTACGGAACCATAAGTCACACGAACCTGAAATTTGGTATGCAGACATAGACGTGTAATGTATGCAAACATGTCAATGGTAGGTGCTTATAGGAGGGTATATATAAACGAGTTTGTAAAAGGGGGCGTGGCACATCCCATAGGCGTTGAATTTTTTATCAGCTATAACTACGGAACCATAAGTCACACGAACCTGAAATTTGGTATGCAGACATAGACGTGTAATGTATGCAAACATGTCAATGGTAGGTGCTTATAGGAGGGTATATATAAACGAGTTTGTAAAAGGGGGCGTGGCACATCCCATAGGCGTGGAATTTTTTATCAGCTATAACTTCGGAACCATAAGTCCTTGAAATCTGGTATGCAGACATTTCCATGGTAGGTGCTTATACAAGGGTATATAAAAATGAGTTTGTAGAAGGGGGGCGTGGCACATTCCATAGGCGTGGAATAATTTATCAGC